TCTATAATGGATTAAACTGAAAAATCGTTTACGGAGGACAACTCACCGACTCATTCGAGGTAAAGACCGGTATCAGGCAAGGTTGCTTACTATAACCCTTTCTCCTTCTCATGGTGATCGACTGGATTATGAAGAGGTCAACATCTGGAAGGAAGCACGGGATACAGTGGACAGGCAGGATGCAGCTGAACGATCTAGACTTCGCAGATGATCTGGCTCTTCGATCGCACACGCAACAACAAATGCAAGAAAAAACGGCCAGTGTAGCAACAGCCTCAGCAGCAGTAGGTCTCAACACACAAAAGGAAAAGCAAGACTCTCCGATACAATACAATATGTACCAATCGAATTACACTTGACGGAGAAGCTTTGGAGGATGTGAACACCTTTACATATCTGGGCAGCAACATCGATGAACACGGTGGATCAGATGCAGATGTGAAGGCGGGGATCAGCAAAGCAAGAGCAGCATACTTACAACTGAAAAACATCTGGAACTCAAAACAATTGTCAATCAACACCAAGGTTAGAATTTTCAATACAAATGTGAAGACAGTTCTACTGTATGGGGCGGAGACGTGGAGAACTACGAAAGCCATCATCCAGAAGATACAAGTGTTTATTAACAGTTTTCTCCTCAAAACACTTCGGATCCGATGGCCAAGCACTATTAGCAACAACCTACTGTGGGAGACAACAAACCAGATTTCAGTGGAGGAAGAAATCAGGAGGAAGCGCTGGAAGTGGATAGGACACACTTTGAAGAAAGTACCCAACTGCGTCACAAGACAAGTCTTCACATGGAATGCTGAAGGTCAAAGGAGAAGAGGAATACCAAAGAACACCTTAGGCCGAGAAATGGAAACAGACATAAGAAGAATGAACAAAGGTTGGATCGAACTAGAAAAGAAGGCTCAGGATAGAGTTGGTTGGAGAATGCTGGTCGGCGGCCTATGCTCCATTGGGAGTTACAGGCGTAAGTAAATATGAAAAACAAGTGATCAAAAATTGCACAATGAACTAAGAAGAATCCTTTTTATTATGCAACTAGATATTCAATCAACAGACGAGATTTCATGGAATATGAGATGAATTCATATAATTTTTATTGAAATTTTCATATTTTTCTATTATAACTAGTTTATACAAAGTTGTGAGTAAAGACATAAAACTCATATTATACTGTCCAGATACTGATTTCCATTTTTAATTAGTTACCAGATTAATTAAGAACTATCACTGACCGTAGATTGTGATTTGAACCATTCTCTAATAACTTTATTTTTAGATCTACAACTAATATTTTTTTAGATCATACAATACTGAGTTACGTAATTAAATGACATACATATCTATAATAAATATATGTTCTTTTAAAGCAGGCCGTATGCGTTATTAATGAATGACAGGGAATTTCTTTAATGGTTAAATGTATTAAGCCGAAAAGTGATCAGATGAGTAATTTGGAATGGATCTTAGACGATGATAATATACAGTAAATTTGTACGAGTATACAATATACAGTAAACTTTAGAAAAACTAAAGGAATGAATGCTGCATAATAATAATAATAATAATAATAATAATAATAATAATAATAATAATAATAATGTAATTAAGTAGTATGTTAATAACTATTTTTTCTTATATACAACAGAATGCATAGTTTATACAAATAAAATCATATGGTCGGGTTATTTCTAGTACATTATTCTATATGGTTAAAAGTATTAATACCTTATTATACACGAAGTTGTTTTTTTTAAGTTTAGTAGAAGTAAACAACCTGCTGAGCTTAGGTGCATGATAATGAAAGATTATCCGAACTATGAATTCAGTTTCATTTTTCGATATTAACATGAAGAATAATTATCTACAAATATAATTTTATATGTACTTGAAATCATGAGTCGATTGGAGTTGGACCACCGTAGAAAACCTGGAAGCACTGGACGGCCGTTTCGTCCTATTGTGGGACTTCTCAACAGTGCGCATCCACGATCCCGCCTCACGAGATTCGAACCCAGGACCGACCGGTCTATATAATTTTAGATCAACTTATTAGAGAATTAAAAGTTGACAGCATTTTGTCACATCAATATTAGTCACTGTTATTATCAATGAATTCTTCTTAAGAATTATTATTAGCATATAATTATGGTAATCGGTTAGAAGCACTAAACATAATTTTAATGGTATCAACATTTGTTTGTACATACTGAAAAACTTATACTCTGCAGTTTTCAGGTTTGTTTTACCAAGCACAAAAGCCAAAGATCTTACATTTGGAATACACACCTTTATATTTACAACATCTAAGAATAAATGCATGAATTTTGTTTATATTATGAAGTGATTTTACTTAGAAAACCATCGGAAACCAAGGAGCTATTTGTTTTAGTACTAGACTCCTCAGGATTGTGTACTGACGAATTCATATGTATTAAAACCCGAGAGCTTCAGTATGGGGTTACCTTTACGTAAATGAAGTTGGAATACTAGTTCTTATTACTGAGTCTAGTTAATATGTAAAATTGAGAGACCAGTATCGATTGGTATCAGCAATATTTGTTTCACTTCTAATATAAATGAACTTCATTGGTTATAGTTTCACACTAAAAATTTGGGAATACTTCTTGAGTGTGGTCGATTATTAAAGCACATTGACTAAATCTGGTAACATGAATCACTGAATATCAATTCATTGGTCTAAATGTGACTCACTTATTGCTACCCCTAGAATTTAAGTTCGATATCTGGAAGGATCGTGAATGTGCACTACCGAGGGGCCTTATGCTAAGATGAAATAGTCAACTGATGCTCCTTGATTTTTAGTCGTTACACTCAGTCCGTGATGTTAATTACAAACCGATTAATCTCAAAAACTTCATCTGCTGGCATTAATTTTCACCAATGTTGAATCCATGATATTGGTAAGGTTTTCTTGATCAAAATAGTGATGCGGTTAATAATCTCATTTGAAGCTATTCAATGTATTTGATCTAGTAGTGAACCTGAGTAATACTAGTCCTGGTCTATGATTAAAGGAGTATCTACGAGGTTGCAAGCATTGCTTGATAAAAGCACAATGACGATATTCAAAAGACTTCCTAACAATTTCATTCAACTAACAAGTGAAAGTTAAGATGAAATGTAAGGTTGAATCACTTAGCCTAATGGTCATACTATAAACTTGTTTATTGAAATTTAGATTAGATAGGTTACTGTTTTGTGTCCAATCAGTTTGTACTTGTCATATAGGATCAGTATCATTTGTATTATGACATTTATGTTTAGATTTATTGAAAAATAATCTGTATTCATTTAGTATTAAACGTTAAAGTTACCATTTTAAAATTTGGTAAACGAATGTTTGAGAATGAGTTTTGTGACGAGTTGAATGAAACTCAGTATTCAAGTTTGAAAAAACTGGCTTAATAAGACAAAATTGTTAATCATAAACAAACGAAGTTTCTCCATGTGTACACTAGGATCCTATTTTATACAAAAGAGAATGAATAAATTTATTCATTGGAATGATACGTTACTATAGTTACGGTTTCCTAGAATATGGACGGGTTAGACACAAGGAGTACCTGTGAACACGTGTAAACTATCTAAGTCCAGAGGTTAAGAATAATGCCTAACTGTTCATAGGCGGATTTGAAATGCTTATGATGATTAAGAAAGAATATATTGTGACGATCAATACATAGATCAAACGATGAATTATTTGAACCTATGACTTATGATATTTATATACGTCAATTTAGCATTACATGACTGCTAGGTAAATTTGGGTCTATATTTCCAGTAACCAAAATTCCCATGTTTAATACTTAACTCCAACTTAGAAACGGACAATATTCTTTTCGGATGCAGTACATTTTAGTCATCATAAATTAGGTATTTATGGATTATGGAATTAGTTTTCAAAACGTCAGTGACAAACCTGAGTTTATTGAAGGCCAGTATATTGTTCAGCAGTTCTACAACTGTCGCACCCTGTCACTGAGTGCGAATATTGATGTTTTCATTACAACCTAGCCAGGTTCCCAGCTATTCGATGAGAGACTAAAGCAAATTCGAGAAATGCTACAGATGAGTAAAAGTACCAACATTTCATGGATTCATTTTCTTCAGGCTCCGTTGCTATAGTTCGAAACAAATGGGGATTCCATATCACCTAGCACCTAATCGTACATGTCAGCTCAGATACCAGAATCTCAAGTGGTGAACATTGTGACGTCCTGTTTTCATTGTGCGGATACTATTCGGTCAACACCCTCTGTACACGATGATGAGCCCAGTAGTCGTGGAAAGGCTCCACGCTAACCTGTAAGCTTATAGAAATGTAGCACACTACAACATTCAGTCTGACAGTCAAATACTACCATAAACTAGTTATGACTGGGATAGGATTATTATTTGGAATCGTACGACATCCGTGCCTTTCAACATCACTTTTCTCGTCCTGCAATGAAACTTTTGATAAAAGTACTGAGCCCACTGCATATCAAATAATCAAAAATGAATACAATATTCCGATTATCTGTTGCTTTGTGATCACGAGTTTCTATCCCTCCACTCAAGATTCCCGGACGAAAGTATATTCGCCCCGTACTTCCTCACTCAGTTATCATATCGACTAGAGCAACTCACAAAAATGACGAAATTACTGCGTTAACACAGAATTAAGTCATGTGTATGCTGACACGCTAATAAAACAAAACCAGTCACCTAGAAGCCGAATTCGGTTGAGTTGAACGACTTATTTAAGCTGAAACAAAGTTGCTACCAATACCACCTTGATGGGCGAGAGGGCCTTCATAATGTTAACTATTCACTATTTACACAGAATTTAGAGAAATCTTTTAACCCAGATGGCTTCGTAAGCTTTCAAGATCAAACAATGGAGACTCCAGTCAATCAGCCTAGTTTGTATCGTTAAACAACAAGATCCACTTAGAAACCAAATAGAAATAGCTGGAACAACAATTGCAACACACAAATTTATGCAATGAAAATTAAAAAACAATGCAAAGTAATGTAGATGATACACATTATAAGTAAATGGTAATAAAAAAAGACTACAAAAAACCAACAAGCAAAAACATACATAATTGTTTCCATTATTGAAAACGAAATACAATAGAGTAAATAAATCCAAAATCTTGTACTCTATCAGATTAGAAAGTAATGCTGCTTGCCAGAAATAATAAAAACACTCAATGACTATAAAAAGAAAGGCACAAGTGCGAAATAATTGTGTAGTACGATAAAGATAAGTAACATAAGATAAAAACAAAACAAATGCGACTGTGTCCACCTTGCTGAAAGGTGTTACACACAAATTAACTAAATCAATTTGCGAAAATAAACTAGAGGAACGGAATGGTTAATTAATATGAAATGATGCTCATTTAATGAAAAAATAGGCCGTTTACAGAGAAAGATGAAAGTTAAAATAGATGAAGTGAGGTAGGGAGACATGTTATTCATCAAGAGAATTCAATCACTGGTAAATAGATGTGCTAACAAATTCGCACGGCTGACATGCATTGATCATTCTTGATTAATTAGATTTCGCATTTCCCTCCTCGTTTGGGTGTTATAGTGCTCGAATATCACGCCATAACAGCACGTGAAACAGATTTATATAAGTGGGAATGAAGACAAAATGACGAAACAAATTATAAACTAATGAAGAGTAAACAAAACAAATATCTAGAAGATAATAAAGACTAAAATAAACAAATAAGCGGATCAGCATCCAAGGACTATAATAAACATATGAGGAAGGAAATATGAAACCCAATAAACAAATGATAAGTCAAGAGTGATCAATGCATGTCCGTGTTACAGCTGTCTAGAAACTTCAATAAGAAAAATCCAAACAAACAAAAGCAGTCAAAAATAATAATAAGTATATGGTATTCAGGATAACCTAAGCCTAAAAAACAGAAAAACATATAAAACTGTTTATAGTCAAAATATAGAAGTAAAAATAAAACATGGTTAACGTTAATTAATCTGAAGGTTGTTATTCACGTAGCCCATCTTCTTCACCTTCGACCTCAGATGAGGCCAAGAGTTTGGAGAAATTCATTAGATCGTGTGGATTTAAAGAACCAGCGCATTCAGAATTATTTTCGACCTCTAGTCCATTGCAAACTGACATTTGGTGGTCAGCAGCATCAGGCCTAGAGACTGCAGTTCTGCTCAAAATAGCACATACAGACCGCGGTGTGTTTGGTGTTGGAGTTCCAACTCTGCCTTCCTCGTGTTCGGCCCCTGATGTATAGTGAGTCATTGCTGAAGATTTAGGTATTTCTTGGCATGTCGAACGAGGCGACAAATGAGACATGTAAGAACTTGACAAAGGTGGTAAGACAGAAGCAGCAATTTGTTCTGGAGCGAATGAAGACATTTGGTTTTCCCAGTCAATCAACTGACGAAAAGAGACATTCCGTCCACCGCCGATAACTATGAGAACATTGGAGGGACGAGGTAGTCGACCCTCGATTTGTAAACGTGACAGGTAACCTGAATATACGGTCGAAAGTGCTGCTCCGCAAGCTGGATCAACAAGCATTCCATGATCATCTGAAATGTACAGAAAACTTTTATGTTAGTGAGGTAGGACAGGGCAGAATCTTGATAGAGGAAAATTCCGAAGGCTTGAAACTAAGTTTAGAGTAAGCAATGAGAACTATCGATTTACGCTAATCGTTATGGAAGACAACAATGATAATGTCCATTTGAATGTGGTCAACTAGGAACTTACGCAACTAACTCGGATTTGTTACTTGCGAGATACTGTTAGTTCCAAATTGATCTTAATTGACATAGTTAAACCCTGTATCATGTTCTTACATGTAATCTTTCTTTTTATATATTACTACTACTGAAGCAATTGCTATGAGTTTGACATTTGTCTCATTGTGCTAATGAGATATGGCAACTTGGACCGATGCATATATGTATCTGGTACTATATTGTAGCTGACCGCCCAACATAGTTGAAATATGTCAGTCTTGTGGAGCGTATGGCTAAGACGATCAATGCTCTTAAACGAAATTTGTTAAAGTGTACATTTCCGACGCCAACAGACGGTTGAAATACTTGGCTACTCAAGTCTACTTTTAGACCTAGTTTGTTTGGCTAACAGGTAGACTTCAAAGTGATAACTCTATCATCGAAAGGAATAAGGTCATCGTCAATATAAAAAGTTCGGAACGGGTACAGAAATAATTTGTGAAGCTATTGAAACAAGATCTTACCCAAAAAACGTTTCACTCCATCAACTGCCTCTCCGTCAGTACAGGTCACTGCACTAATCGAATGGCATTGAGCCAAACTCCAAGCACGCTGTGCCAACACTGGGGCGCTGAGAGAAGTTGCAATCGTTGAGCTTCGTGGGATAACTGCTAACTGGCCAGATTTCAATGAACGATTTAAGCAATCGGCTCCCTCTGTCTCCACAGTTACGATATGGGTTGAAGACCACCCTTTGTTCCACAGACCCTAAACATGTAAAAATACCTGATGTAATTCTTCGGAGAATAAGCCAAGGAAAAAACTTATTTATGGAATAAATGGTTTATAAAAAGTTATCACCTTAAAGGTATATTAAGACAATATTTTTAGTTGTTTAACGTACGTGGATTTTGTAATTAATTGTTGCATGTACTGGCTATAAATGTGAAGCCTGAGTATATGGATTTTTGTTGTATCAACACGTAGAACTGGGTTCACATTGTGGGAGTAACAATAATATGAAAATTGTTACACATAAAGTACAAACATTTTCGTAAAAGTAGATAAATGATTTGGTTTAGTCAGTGGTCCCCTATATTCACTTTGATTTACGTAGTATCGCTAGTCCTCGGTGTATTAACTTGTACAAGGAATACGATAGATTCTAGGTGAAAAAAATCTCAAAGTGTGACGATACTCACTTGTATGACACCTGCAAGCAATCCTCCACCACCAACGGCGACAACTATAGCATCTGGTTGACCGATCTCTGGAGTGATCTCGTCAACAATAGTTTCGTATCCTTCCCATAGTTCAGGCTGATCATAAGGATGAAGAAGGCGGACAGCGTGGTCATTGTGCCCGGATTGTAGGTCGTTTACTAATTGTTCAGCGCGGTGATGAGCCTCCAAAAAACTGGTACCACCTATAACGATCTTGGCTTCCTGAGCCTCTAATGATAGGCGACGTCTAACAATTTGCTCAAAAGCCTCAGGGACTACCAATGTACAGTTTATTCTGTAAGTGTGAGCTGCGAAAGATGCGGCTATGCCTGCATTCCCAGTAGTTGGACAGACAATATGACTAACTCCCGCGGCTGCCCACTGAAATCAACAAAGAACCGAAAGTGAGAGAATAAAGTTTTATAAACTGTTTTGTTGTCGTGATGCACGTTTTTGTCTATTGACACAATAACTTCCTATAAATGAACATTATATTTAAATAACCGTAAAAGGGTGGAAATTTATTTTAAATGTGTCCAAACATGCAATATATCACTTAACGCATTATAGATCATTCACACTATTACTGAAGAATGGTGTTAATATATTCATTGTGGCTTCAAGTTCACTCGATTGACGTGATGAATTACTTTTTGTAATTTTTGTTAAGCTAGCCTAACGTTTTTAATTTAACGGGACCCATCTATTTTAGAAGTTTACTTGTTTCACTGATAATGGAAACCAGAAGCTTGGGCTTCCTAAATAAGTGGCAATAAAAAACTTGGTAAAATACTAGAAGTCCGGCAGCGAAGTAACAACTGAATCTGGTGTCCTCAATTTTCCCTCTACTGTCAAGTAGCACCTTATGACTTATCAGAATAACAATCAAATCAAAAGTATAATCGCTGAAACAATATACCTAAAAGGATGTCGTATCTTTTCAGTTTTCATCCGAAGAGACATCGTCTACGTATTCTAGATCAACGGGTAAATTTGTTACGTTAATTTTTGAAAATTAGGTGATGATGCTTATGGTTACCATGAGTTTTGGGTGGGGACTGCAATCGACGGGCCCTCACATAGTCCGACAAAAATACAAAAAATGTAACTCAGAAAAACGAAGTACTAAATAACTTGCCTTGCGAACCACATTTTCAACACCACGAATTTTGAATGATCCAGTGGGTTGAATATTTTCCAGTTTGAGCCATATATTTATCTGACAGCCCCGTTGTGTTAATAAACTCGACAACACAGGACTTGGTATCAAAGGACTTTTAACAGACAAACGCCTGAATAATCCGACTGTCAAAGCACTCGGGTTTATTTCGCCAGAACGTCCAGTCTCCGAAAGTGGGTTAATTGCGGACCTGTGTTGAGAAAATAGCCATGGAGAATAACTTGTTGTGTTCGTCAAGTTTCTGAGAGATTGTTCCAATTTTGGCTGGTCATTGTCAACAGTTCGTTGGGAGTTTAGTGTGTTAATTATTGAGAGCTCTCTGGATGAACAGCGATCAACCCCAGCAACCAAACCTGGTGAGTTTAAATTATGGTGACCGTCAAGAAAATCCAAGACATCCAACGAACTGGTTTGTGAGAGGACGTCACGGTTGAAGATCGATGTTAGGTTGTGGTCAGTTACTACGAAAACAATTGTGGACAACATTTGTGTACTGAAAAGACTGTGATTGGTTCTAAATTTCAACTGATTTGATTATTTGTACAGGTGTGAATTATGACAAAAAAACTTGAAGTGCTAGGTCCACTCAGGTCACCTTTTTGTATAAAGGATAGCTTATATATATACGTGTTTGGATAATAGATCGAAATTCACCTTAAAATATACTTAGCATTTTGAAAGCGAATGTTCCTGTGATGGTAAAACGAAATTTCAAACTAATGCTAGTAAATTAAGCAGACAGTTGAACATTACCTAATGATCTGAATGCAAGTATTATTTATTTATTTATTTAAACACATAAATATTGGTACAAGGAAAAACCAGATAAATATGCGCCTCACAAATCTCATTCGGTTTGTGTGAGAGCTGTGATACTGCCCGGGTGCCCAGACTAAAGCAGGTGGTTTTCTTAGAGGGCCACACCTCGAGCCCTTGACCTAAAAGTATGATCCATAAGGCAGTGGAGCATCGTGGAAATGCAGTCCCATGGTAGCCGGTGATCAATGGTTGATTTGTACGCCATTTGTTCCATCAGGATACTGGAGTCCATGTGCACCACTGGTTTGGAATCAGGGTTTTCCAACTCCCCTAGATGAACTTTCCATGTCCATCAACCCGGTTAAAGCGCCGGACATTCGCTCTTCGTCCTCTCACTTTCGAAAACAACACCCCCGCATCGAGAAGGCAGTGAGCAGGACTTCCCTCGCAGGATCGATGTATGGATATCAGTTTAAGTTGGAGGGCGAAATCGTTGTAAGTTGGAAGAGTCTTGAAAGTACACTTTGTATCAGTCAGTCAGCTACAACGTGGGACCAGGCACACATATGCATCGGTCCAAGTTGCCATACCTCACTAGCACAAGATAAACACCGAATTCATAGTTCATTTAAGTGGCAATATATAAAAGCAAGATTGCATGTAAGGATGTACAAAAAAAGATATGAAGGAATTTCAATTATACAGTGCAAGGGAAGATATATAGTGTAAACACCTAAGCCATTGTGATCAATTTTGAACCGTGTCACATTGTATCAGACCTTTGATTACGATAGTCACGCGGACCTCGACCAAGTATTCTGCATCTATCAACATGGCTCAGACTAGTGGTTAATGACTTCAAGCGCTGATGCCATGTTTTAGTTTGGTCGCCTCCGACTTTCTTCCATCCGTCGCAAACACAAGTCAGCATTGCGCGTCTTGGTAATCGGGGGGTTCAAGCGTGTGTAATATCAACTTAATTGAAGATTTACAACCTAATCAACTGGTTTACCATCATTCCCTAATACCCTGCGTCTAACATCACTATCACTTACCCGGTGATTTTAGCAAATATGAGCAGAATTTCTAAGGTATCTGTAGTCAAGTACTAGTAACTTATGAGTGTTTTTTACTCTTCATGGACGTTTCGCAGCCGTAAAGTAGAACAGAACACACTGCTGCACACTATACTCGTCCCTTAATTGATAAATGGATATCGCGCCTTCGCCGTTAGTGACATAGGATGTCGAATGCATAACGACCATAAATCTTTGCAGAAATTGCGTTAAATATCAACACGTTAAGGTTGATCAAACTTAGAAGTCGACGCGTCCGACAACTCCACTCCCTGTCCTTGGTTCAGGTGTTGACGCAGGAAAGTCATGAAGCAATAATTTGCACTTAGGAGGGAAATGCACTATAAACATTCTGGCATCAATGCCGAATGTATTCAAAAGGCTGCATTTTATCAGCGTCGTCACCAAACAGTACTATGTCTTCTGTGTATTGTGAGTTGATGAGCGAACCTACAGGGGGGAGACCGTTTTCTGAAAATTCAGTCAACGACATTTATTTCCAGCAAATCTAGGATGAAGTTCGACAAAATTGGAGATAATAAATAGCACTGAAGTTTCAAAATCGGATGACAGTTTGCCATCATCTCTAGCATGACTGGTGGTGTTTGAGTAAAGAGCCTTCAAAGGTTTACGTACTTCTGAGGTACACATTACAATGACAGACACTGCCACAGAACCTCTTGGTCTAAAAAGTCAAATGCTGTTTTTGAGAAAAACTATCCGTGTCGAACGCCAATAAGTATGCATAAAATGAGAAATGTGTACGAACCATGACTAGTCGACGTTGTTAAAAACAGTAAAATGCGAGACTCAATCAACATTTCTAACTTTGGTAGTGAAAACAGACAGAACATGGAGGTAATCTTACCTTTGTTTCGCATGATTGGTCGAGGAGGGATGCCGAACGGTGGATTTGATGGTAACTGGACGGAACCACTAGATTCTACTGCTACGTTTAGAGCGACTTCTGGGTTTTTCGTTTCCGTCATATACTGATTTTGTGAATTCCCATGCACAGCGCAGCCCAGTGTGTTTAGCGTCCGTCTATTCAACACATTTGTTAGTATATTTGATTCAGTCAAAGGATCGGCGTTACTGTTGTTGTTAGTTGTACGATTAAGCGGGAGTGGTGACTGACGTGAAGAAAAGTAAAACAGCCCATATGTTTCTCTTGTTACTGAACCAATTAATCTTAATCTGAGCGGTGATGCCCATTCCGGAGCCTGATAACCATTCAAGCGCAAAACAGAAAGTTCAGCACTACGAAATGAAATAAATACACAGACCTACTTATTTTTCTCCTGAAAAATAACAGATGCACTTGAAGTGAACTTGTTATCCGCCGATTCTGAACTCATATCACTTGAAGCCCCATTCAAAGCGGGACTGAGACGGGGCTTTTGACCTGGTGGTGAATCGGGAAATTGAGGAGCTAGTAATCTTATAACCACAACAGCTCCGAAATTAGAAAAGAGGCGCTGACAAAATGAATTAATTTGCAAAATCAACCTACTAGTAAATCCGGTTCAGTCCACTCTACAGGTATCCCAGTTACTATGATCTCCCAACCAATTATATTTTCATTTGTGACTTCCGAGTTTAATGATCCTGAGAAATTAGTTCCATTGGAAAATGTTTGGAGACGATGTCCTATGACGTCAATTAAGATAGTGAAATTTACCTGGTGTGAACCGGCGACCACCTGAACTGGCGTATGCTACACGCAGTCGTTTTTGCTCCGTCTCGTAACCGTGATAAGTTTGTATTGCTAGAGCTGCATGCTGAGGATTCACGAAATCCACAAACCCATAACAAAGACTCGCACCCGTATTCTACACATAACAAAGAAAACTATATTCTCACCTTGTCTCTGATAAGCTTACACTGTCTAATAGGTCCCACTCGCTCAAATAGACGCTGGAGGTCGTTCTGGTCGTAGCTCTGAGGAAGGTAGTTGATAATCAAATTGGTGCGTGAGCGATCCTCATTACAAAGGGTGTTACTATTTCCATTCTGATTATTACTCGTCAAATTTAAACCAAGAAATTTGAGTCGAGACATAGTATCGATGCTGTTTACGTTTGGTCCGTTGACATTCAAGACTGGACCAATGGCAGAGTTATTAATTGAGTCTTGGAAAGGAAGTGAAGGAAAGACATCCGAAAGATTGCTACCCATGCATCCATTTACGTGCATATTTACTGTCCTTGCAACCTAACAAGGCGAGGTCAGCACGCAGTACAAAGTCAAATTCAAATTTATGCGCTGACGCTGAAACCTATGAACTTAAAGAAAGATGAACCTGATGCAGTAAAACCCTTGGTCAAACGAATGCAGTTATTTCACCATGAAACAAGATTTGAAATTTGTTATTTTCACTATTGTTAGTGTTATATTTGCAAAAGAAATAATAGAACTCCAATTGTATTGCAAACATGATAATTAATCTAGGTAGTGTTGGTGACATATATCTCGAATTTTCTGGATCCCTTGGTTGGGATGATTTATTATCATCAGCTTCATGGTTATCGTCGCCTGTCGACCTAGTTGTGGAACATTATCAGAGGAACTCTTCTTGATTGGAATCAAATATCAGTTCTCCAAAAACATCCAGTTCAGTAATAGACAAATAAGCAACCGAACAATAATCCTCCCTAGAGATTTGTGTCGTCGATTTGCTCTCTTTAGATTAAGCTAGGTAAGAGTCGAACATCAGGAAGGTTAGCCTCGGTAGACAGCCTAGTACATCTTTATTCGATCATACGACCATTTCTATTTACGTTGTCTTCCGGATAAGTGATCTACTAGATTATTGATAAGCGACAATCACGAAAGCTACGTATCCGCATTCTCAAATACTGGTATATCAAAGCTCAATAAGTTTGAAGGATTCATGTTTACTTTCAGGAAAACTCTATCAGCGATCGACTTTTGAACCTTGTCGAACCATAATTCAAGCCAACTCCAACGAACAACGAATTGAAATACAGGATTAATACTCTGTTTTGATACAATCTCAAATCAACCAATATTAACCCGGATTTGTAGCATTTGTAGCGCGTGAGAGAAAGCTATTTGGAGGTGTTAGCACGATGGTAATTTAATTATCTTTGTAGCGTTAAATAAATCCCCTAAATCAATAGCTGTGTCAGCCTTCGACATTCGATGTTGACTGCATCAGTTTTACTGAACCCAGCTGAAGGCGCTCGGTAACGCGTCTGCACCAGACAATCAGTAGGTACGCCGTTCTTCGCATCCACTTCAATACTGACAGTACTGTAAGTTGACAACTCTTTACCAACAACACCTGTAATTGAATCGCGCCCACTCCAGTCAAAATCAGAAGTCAGAAACGAGGAGGTTGGAAGATATATTTGATGGGTTATCAGTATATCGAAAAGTGACGGATCTAATCTGGCCAATGATGGTAGATGTTTCCCATGCCGTTCTGTAACGTGATCTGGTACGGATGCATGACCGAGCCCCTTCAGTTAAACGAGTCTACTAGAACTAATGGGGTCAGCACCTGATGTCGAACACTTACAGAGCTATAGGTTTCGAGGATTTATTTACACCTACAACATCAACACTAGTTTACGTTACACTTGGGTTATGACGACTGTCATAATGTCATTATTGTCCTTCACATTACATTGCCTAAACAGATTGTAATTATGGGTTATTTCATAGTGAATTGAAACACAATTCCAAAACTGGAGTAATTCACTGCAGAATCCCAACATAGGTTTGGACTGAAGAATAACTGTCTGCGTAGTTTAGATACGAACTATTGCCCAGTTGAAACCAAAGCAAGGTGATTGGTTAAATGAAGGTTCCAAATAAATATTACCACTCAGTTGTTCAACCAATAATTATTCAGTCAGTAATAATTCAAGCGTACCAAGTAAATATTATTATATCCCTTCTGGATGGACCACGTACAGATTCGTTCGAAAGATAATATTTGGTTGCTTCATAACACAGTGTTTCAAATTTTGGAAGTGAACTCCAACTCACAATCAAAAATGCACAATTCTAGTCAACGCAAGCAACACAACCATTGGGGGAGAAAATCAATATGGCTGTCGCCAAGACTCAGTATCAACTGAAACAATATAAATCCAGTTCAGGATGAAGCATGGAAATTCAGTGAAGGTGTAAGAAAAATAGAAACTACAATAAAATACAAATGTAACCGTTTCAAATGGAATCAAATCGACTAACAAAATGTAAAACAATTTTTCCGCTGATGTTTTGTAGAGCTAAAGATTTTCTTTTGAACAAACTGTGCACCATCTGACCAGAAAGGATGTAATAATATTTCTGCTATAACGCAAACATCCGTGTTTTGAAACTAGTAGCTATTTTATTTTTGCCATCAATCTATCCACCTGATGTAATTTAGATTTAATTGAGTTCGTCGGACGATTGTTCGTGGAATGGTTGGGCAGCAATATTTTTTCGAGAAACCAAGTAAGTTTAAATTCATAACGTTATATAGGATCGTTCTTGACTCATCCGCTTTCCTTTCAATTTCGACTGCGCAAAAGTACTAGTGTAAGAATTAACTTCTTCGGTAGTTACTAATCCCAAGCTTCTTTAGTTTGTAACTGACAATAAGGTTGCCTTTCAAGTAAGTGGCTTCCAGCCGATCGATGCTGACGTGTTCCCTGATCTAGTTCTTGTTGAAAGTGTCTCACTTGAGCTTAAAAGGAAAAACTTGATTGGTAGTGTCAAGGGCTTTGCGTAATGACTCAGGACCTATATAAATATATGTATTTAACAATAAGATGTGTCCGGTAGAAACATGAGTTGATAAGGCTTGAGTGAGGGTTGATCTAACCAAACACAATGCTTGGATCCATGTTCTTTGAAAATGAAGAATCTAATGATTATCTTGTTGGTCAAAGAGTTGCGTAATGGGCAAGTTCGACTGTAGCACATTTGCTTTAACTGCATTGAACATTTCCAGTTAAACAAATTGAAGAACATCAGTGCATTGTGATACTCCTGTAAATGAAAGTAAGGCTTTCAGATGTCAGTGAAATCGCCCCATAAAACCACCAGACTGTGGATTTTAGGTGATCGTTGTGATTCCTAAGCGTTTAGCAACAGAGTGAAGAAATTCAAATTCAAACTGGTTTCCGCATTCTGTAGTGGCCGTCCAAAGGCAGTCAACGCTTACAACAGAGCAGGCCACTGTTTTCACAGTAATGCATTTGATGCGTACTACCTCTGGTCACCCTGTGGAACGGTCTATGCATATGAAGATATAAGCTTAAGTATTTAATTCTGATGAGAGCCCTACCACAGTTGACTTGTTACTGATTCAACTTTGTATTTAACCGTTCGACAATTTTTTTTTGGATCGATCGTCAAAATGCTGACAACCCAGAAAGTACGAAGATGATTAGAAACGTAATGATACGGGACGACTTACGGCTAAGTAGTAGTTCGAACCAAATACTACGAGTTGGTACAATAGTTTTATCATACCTCCACGATACAACAAAAGAACTCTAAATATTCCTAAAACAACATAGAATGAAAGTACACCACAAAACAGCCAACACTTTTAGAAATGATTTGTGCATAATAGATCAGATTCTCGTTATGTCAACGCAGAATGACATTTTAAAACTAGGATGTGCCTCCTGTATTGTTGGGTCGTTTTCTTGAAATCCTCCCTCAAGCTAAAGAACTTCTTAGGTGCACTGAAAGTCACCTAATAATCCTATGGAACATGAAAGACCTGCGATAGCACGCCGTGTGATTTTCAATAACCATAGAGTTCATGTTAAAACTATCAAAATAATATAAATGTCTTTCCAGCAATAAAGCTGACTAGCGGAAGCTTTCCATATATTACCAAATCCTACTGCCCTCAATAGAACAGAATGCCTTAATATACATCTGACTTGGTTCACCCATACGAACCACGATATCAGATATCATATATACAAATTCACCTTTATCCTCTCATATTACAAATGTCCCATTTTTCAACCATTAGGACTCAAAGTTACACGAACACTTCCCACATAAATCTCCCTGCCCTGAGTGATATGGCATTGACTTGGTAAGACCTGCTTTCGATAAATCATACTAAATATGTATACTTTGTTACTTTGTACGATTTGAATTTGGGTTAATTTAATTTTTCTATTTGCTTTCTGAAGACATGGCTTATATGGAGTTGCAAAATGTCGGGCATTGAAAACGCATCATTTTCGTAATCGTCTTCCTTTATAAGTGAGTCATTTTTAAGGATTTCAATCCCTTGAAAATAGTTCGAATTATTCGTGCTAGACAAGCAGTCAGAGATTGCACTGTTTGCCCCAGAGATACATTGCATATTTCAAGTAAGCTGTGGAATATAGTCCAGTTGTTATGACACTTTGAGCAAACATTTATCCAAAGTTGAGCTCCGAGAAAACGTCGGAGGTTCACAGTTTGTGTAAAGTGGGAACCCTCGACTTTCAAAGAGTAATCAAAATGCTTTATAACAGAACAAATAGCTAAAAGTTGCCTGTCAAAAGTTTTCTACTTCAGTTTAACATCTTTGCACAGTTTCGAGGAGCATGCTAATACCTCTCGAGTTTCGTCTATCCATTTCCGCAAGATTCCCCTTGTTGACTAATCGGAACCCTCTACGGAGATGCATGTAAGTGTTTAGATCTCGTTGTGTAAAATCATAGTGAGATTGGGTATACTGTCCTTCACTGTTAATGCATTTGATAATTCCAGAAATTTTAGTTTGGATGCCCGACGCATTCTTTGTGCAATCGGTAGTATGAAAAATGCTTGACTGACCAAATTTGTGTCAGGTTTCGCGAAAAATCGAGGTAAAAGTGGATGCAGTATCCAGCTGCATAGTGATAACACGATTATTAACACTAATGGATACATACTTCCATACGCATTGAGGGTGATTTTGGCAAAACCCGTAAACATTTGGTTCGCTTTGACATTCTATAGTGAAATTGTTTGCTGCTTTTCTTAAACCCCTCATCACAGACTACCACTCAACATTGTGTGCATTTTTGGCTATTGAATGAGACGGGGCGTGAGAAATGTCATGTCACACAGTTCCCCAAAACTAGTGGGAGGCCTTACAGAGCGACGTGGATTAGAGTTATGTACATTGGACATTCGATTTGGACGGTAGCGTTCTCCTGAATCATGCTATGTGACGTCAACAAAACGACATGAGTGAGAATTTTTCACCAAATCAAATGAACTAGGATTAACGGCAGATGTACAA